CACACACACACACACACACACAGACATACACACACACACTCTCTCTCTATATCTCTTTCTCTTTCTCTCTCTCTCTTTCTCTCTCTCTCTCTCTCTCTTTCTCTCTCTCTCTCTCTTTCTCTCTCTCACACTCACGCATACACGCACTCATACACATACGCACACTCACTCAAAGACACACGCAAACACACACACTCAAACACACAAATACAGAAACAAACACACGCACAAGCACACACACTCACAAAAAAAGGTTTGAAGTATTTTTTCAAAGTGCCACTTCGAAATCAAGTCTAAAACTATTTTTGTCAGCAACACCACCGGAAGCTGCCTAGAGCGACTTCACTTACAATACACTCAGCTTTCTATTTGTTTCTATAACAAAAGGATACGTTAGCTTGTTGCTTTGCCCAGGAGTAATCTGAGAATGACCGAAAATAATCAGGAGAAGATCAGATTGAGAAATAATCATTTGGAGTTAAGCCAAGTGCTTGCCCTCAATAGGAATTATATAATCTGAAGAGATACATGTTCTTATCTGTAACGACACAGTGTGCTAAAAGAAAATGGGAAAAACAGATTTATTGCTCTTATTGTACCTGAAGCAATAGGCTGAAATTAATTCACATTCTGTAGAGAGGAATTATCTCTTTGAACTTCGTGTCTTCAATTTTTAATTTTTTTTAGGTATTCTTTAAAAAAAATTTTTTTTTTATATAGAACGAACATTTTTATGTTAATAAAAAGTTATTTCAAAACCTCTAGTCAAACTGCTAATATAATGCAGCTCCACAGTTTCAGACATCTCAGCACGATGTTCTTGATGGAGGATTAGAACTTTTACGTCTCTTTTGCCTGAACATTTACAACAATCTTGCTTCTCAATTGTTTTTACGGGTCCCCCCCCCCTCTTTTGGTTTTGTTTGGTTTTGATTTTAATTTCTTTCTTTTTGAAGTTTGGTTGTTTTTGTGTGTTCATTTATATATTAACCTTTAACCACAGAAAAAGTTTTGGTTTTGATTTTATTGCTTGCTTTAGGCTGAAATGTTTTTGTTTTTGTTTTTGTTTTCACGACGATTAATAAGGGATGAGGAAATCACTCAGGGCCTGGATTTGCCGAAATTGGAGACGTGTCCAGGGACAGACAAGTGAGGCGTCGACTTCTCTCGGCCTTAAGTACCTGACATTATAGTGAGGGGGTAAGTAAGTAAGCAAATAAGATGTATTTATACTGATTTTAACAATGCTCGTGATAAATGTGGTCTCCTATGAAAACAAACATAATAAATACACGTATTTCTCTCTGTTTCAGAATATTTAGGTAATATTTCAAAGTTATGCCTCTTACAAAGAT